ACTCATAATTTATCCTCATTTTCATCCACCTGGGCAGTGGCTGGATATGTTTCTACAAAATACTCTCATCAGCCAACTAATCACCAGCTGCATCTGTAAACTGTTCTGTGAATATATTTGGATCTTTGGGGCAGAAAATCAGAGAAATTCAACAAACAAGTTTCTAACATCTGGGAATCCTAACGGATCAGTCTTTGTTAGACCGACTGCAAACAAATATTGTTATGCAAAGCCAAATGATAGTTAGCATGCACAGCGTGTTTAGACTCTCTTCATGTTGGAACGGACCTTAATGTTTCAGTTCTGCTGATACACCATTCCTGCATACTATAAAATTAATGGCTTTAGTTTTATATGTTGCCTTCTTTAGACTACTTACATGCTGCTCCTGTGACTTATGCAACTTTGTCCATAGCTTTTATAAATGCAGAAGCTTTGACATGCTGTATGTTCATGCAATCCACAGGTTGACATCCACTGGCTCCTGCATGGTTTTTTCTGTCTTGTAAGGATCCAGCTTAATGTTTGCTTTTCCCTTCAGGTTAGACTTAACTATAAGGCCCCCGGCTTCACTTTATACCAGAGTCATCTTTAAAGAGGAATTTCGGTTCGATTTACCATAGCCCTCATAATAATCAACAGTGCAAAAAACAAGCACATTACAGTATGTTCAAATCATGCCTGTCTCTATGAGTATAATTTCAAAGCTGTAGCCCAAACTGTCAACATTTACAAATCAAACTAATCCTAATTGTGTAATTGAGTGATTTAATCAAGACTGCATCTGGCATTAAAATTTGACAGATGGGAGAGATGCAGAAAGGATCAGCAGGGCTACAATTTTCTGTCAGACCATTAGACAGGTAAGTGTTGCTGAGAACAGATGTCTTTCAATTCCATGCTTGAGTATTTGTTTTAACTATGTTATCTGTACTTTAATAGAAACTCAATTATATGAAATTGGAATGTTGTAGCATTCTTAAGCCCCTTATGAGCAAAATCCAACTGAACTGGCTATAGAAATATTAGAATATGTGCAACTAGCTGGTGTATCTGTCCTAGCCTTAACTTTACTGTGATGCAGTTATCTAGTAGTTTTTGACAGCAAAATAAGGTTGCTGTCACATTACCCCATATAGCAATAAGATAGTTATATGTATTAGAAAATAGCCTAAATGGACCACTTTTTGTTTTGGACTGAACAAACAACCGATGGAGGAGTTATAGTAAGGGCTTGTTTTTGTGATTGTGTGGTGAAAATGAGAAATGAGGGAAGGTTGAGGAACTTTTAATATGAATGTTAGGATCTCTTTTAAAGAGACAAATATTTCATTATATGCCACATAATATACTAACAATAAGGCAATGTATGTATGTATTAATACTTTTTAAAATATTTTTATATGTACTTAAAGCTACAGTGTGTAATAATTACAGGGATATACAGTCAGAAATGTAATATATTATACATAACTATGTTATTTATCATCATCTACGAGCTCAGCCTCTTAACCTTAATATTTGCGTTGCCTTAGAATTCGTTATTTATAATTACATAGGAGCGGGTCTCGCAGCCATGGAGGCAGACATCTTTGCGCTACGGCAGCGCAGAGCCAACAAACTAGCGATTGCGAGATCGCCCATTACAATAACATGCTGTTACTCTCCAGTATACTTATTCAGCAACGTCCCTGACGTTTCACAAGTAATGATTCAGTAATTTTCTGTAAAATAATTTTCTGGATATATACCTCGGTTACTTCTCACCGGCTCCTTTGGAGATCTTCAAGCCTTTCCTCCTCTGCTCTAGTCACCCCGCTGGCACCTTTCCCTCGCCTGGCCCTGGCTGCACGCCCACCCCGGCCTCTCTGCCCTCTTCCTCGCCCTCTTCCTCTCCCTCTTCCTCGCCTTGTAACCCCCGTGCCACAAACAAGACTTGGACTCTGTAAACGGGGAATATATATTCCCCGTTTACAGAGTCCTTCGCTTCCAGCGAACACAATCTCGCTGTTAAACTAATGACTACAATTACTTCGTCTGTTTATATCACCATGCTAAGCAGCTCGCCAAAACGTCACAACGATGTAGAAAAAATAACGGGTATATTTATTATCTTAAGTCTACATGAAATCTATACCCTACACAGACTAATGAAATACTATCTGTAAAATTATCTATGTAAACAAACCTCATCACTTGAGAAGGTAGGTGATGCGGACGTCGTAGAAGACATTTTGTCCCGTAACGCTCGCCGTACTGTTGGGGGGGAGACGCGGTGGGGGGGAGATGTTCATGTTGCTGCGGTCTGCAGTCTGGACGTTAGATGTCGCTGAAAATTACACACTGTAGCTTTAACCATGAAGAATTCAGTTTGACTCAAAAGGTCTAAAACAGGATAGGCAATGTTGATCCTCGAGTGCCACCATCCTACTGCGTTAGCATGCAACCCTTCTTCAACACACCTGTGGGATGTTGAAGAAGGGTTGCCACTAACCAAATGAATTGTTAATGGCCACGCCCCTGCTAAACTAACCGACATGCCAAGGAGGTAATTTTGCCTTTTGTTTCAGGTGTTGGAGCATGGATGTATGCAAAGGCATCAAGACTGTTTCACAAGAAGAAATTAAGTTTCCCATCCTTGGCCTAACACATACCCCATACACAACTAAGAGACCCCAACAACCTTGGCGGACACTGGGTTGGTCATTGATTTGTATCTAAGTTAGAATGTGCAAAGAAGGACAGACCTCCATGCTGTTTAAAAACATGCTCTGATGCAAGGCGACAACACTGAAAGAGAGTCATAGATAGGTACTGAAACGTCTTCAGAAAAAACAGAAAAAAGTCCAGCTGCCTCCAATTTTCCCTACATTCTGGTTGCCATGACCTAAATGAGTGGGAACTTAGACATGCCTAACCTGCAACATACATGAATCAAACTCGATGCTTAACGCTGTAGGCGCTGTGGGTCTAGATACGGCCGAGATGGTAAGGAAGTGGGGGCAAGTTTGTCCGACAACGGAGGGACATGATGGCAAAAAAGTGCTGGGATCCAGGTGGAAAAAGGGTCCCAGCGTTCTCGCGCACCTTGCTCTTCTAGGTGGTCCAACTTCACGAGTTGTTTTCCACAATGGAGGTAATACAAACAAAACAAGCTGGCCTCCTGTCTGCGGTCACCTACAATTTGGGAAAGGTGCAGCAGAGTGTCTGCTGAGTCTTTTTGTTCACTACGACACATACGCAGACAACCTAGTTTCAAAGTATAAATCAGCCTTTAGGAACACTGTCTAATGTACTAAAAAGAAGCTTAAAGAGCATTCTGTAATATCCAAAATGGTTTGAAAAGGCAATGTCTTCTTATTTATTGATCTTATTTATTTTTATTAACCTGAGAAGAAGTGAAACTTCAGATTCTTTATATACTGTACCTAAAACTTATTACAAATTAATGAAAATGATAACTTATTCACATTCCATGAGAAACTGAGATTTTATTGGTCTGGTTAAAGACCACTCATTATATAATGTAGAGTAGAATAGAATTCAACTTTATTGTCATTTCACTGTCACAAGTACAAAGCAACAAAATTTACTCTCTGGATTTAACCCATACCTTTGGGCAGCAGTGGGCTGCCATTGTGCGGTGCCAAGGGAGCACTTCGGTGGTTAAAGGTCTTTGCTCAGGGACCCAGAGCGGCAGTCTGTGGGAGTGGGGCTTGAACTCAGAACCTCTGGGATCTAAGCACAATGTCCTTCCCACTAGGCCACCACTCCCCCCTCAATGAAATGTGTAAACATGTGGCCAGTAATGTGTGATATTTAAAGAGACACTAAACAAAAATCCTGTTTTAGGGTCTAACAAGAACCAGCACCTGGACTTATTAATATACATAAATAAATTTCCATTAGATGACAAACCTATGACCCCCAGCCCCTCCCATCCCAAACATATCACCATGTTCTAGAGAAAGACATATACACCAAACTCCCTGAAGTCAGCACAATTCTTGATGCTGAACTAGCTTCCAGGTTGATTTGCCATGCTGGTCAGGCTTCAAGCATCGTCAAGTGCCCATAACATTAACCCGTGCACGCACACTCACAGGGATGTAAACATTAGCAATATTTTCCCATTTCCTCTGCAGGGCAGGAGGAGAGCAGTAGATCTCCAGCCCTTCACTGGTAATAATCTCTTTTACACTTTACGCTGCCAAGAAGATGAATCATGGTGAACCGGGTCAATGTGTGTGTGAGAGAGGAGAGATCTCGGAAGTGCCCTGCGAAGGCTGGCCTTTATGATCCTCAAGCGTGTGTGTTTATTTGAGGTGAAGACAAAAGGCCAAGGTTCTTTTTTTCTAATATAATCAGAGGTGCTGCAGAGCTTTTTTATGCAGATGAACTTACACAGGTTCAGACATGAGGTAGACAAGAAATTAGTTGTTTTTAAGACTTTTATGACATGCAAATTAAAAACATTTAGAAGAGTTTATATTAATATTGAGAATATTTATTTGCATCTGGTATTTTATAGTTATTTAAAAAAATTATGATGAATGTATTGGCAGCAGCAGCATAGTTACAAAATTCAAATAAGGTAGAAAAATCTCCACCATGGAGTACATTTACCTAGTTGCAAAAAAAATCCTCCAAATGTTTTTTTTTTTTTTTTTTTTTTTTTTTAAACACAAGTCCCAAGCTGAGTGATTCAATTTAACAATTAAGTTGACTTCTGTAAATTGTTCAGATTTTTGAGAAACTTTTTCTTGGGAAAAAAAAAAGTTTTGAACTTTTGTGGTGTGACACAGAAGATAATATATTTGAGAAACTCTTCAAAATGGAAAACTAAACAAAAGAAAACAACATGCCATTTAACAGAGAAAGATTAGTGGGAGTTATCTGTAATCAGTGCAATGCTTGACATTCGGCAAACTGCCAAATCAGGCTGGATGAAGACTAAGGTTCATCTTACCACCATGAAACTCACAGAAGAAAATGCTCAGTTTTACATCAAATATTTTTATATTGAGATTATTTTACACCAAGAAATCCTACTGTAAAGAATGCCACAAAAATACAAAGAGCCCTTCTTTCTCCAGTCATAAATATTTGACAAAAATATACTTTTTTTATTATTTGCATATTACTACTCTTGTCCTCTATTTCTTAAACATCCCAAAAAGTCCTTATTTACAGCTAGCAAGTTTAAAACTGTATCTTCTCTATTACAGTTAACATAGTTTCTACTGACAATGTATGTACAGGAGGCCACCCTGCGATTTAGGGTGTAATTTGGTTAAATGTGTTCAGTGCGGAGACAAAATGTTGAAAACCCTATGATTTGGATGTAAGAAAGGTTAAAAAAAAGGAAAAAAAACAGTCTCCAAGGCTCATTCAGAAAAAGTTGCATTTAAGGGTCACAAGTATGTTGTAGCATGTTGTATCTGTTCACAAAACAGCATATTTAAAGACAAAACAGGGGCTACAGTTGTTATCACCACAGTAAAAATCTAATCAGAATCCATACACGTAACGCAGTTATATAAAACAGCTGAATTTACTTAATAAGCCTGACTAATGTTGAGTTCCAACATTTCTGCTTTTAAAATCTCTGAGGTGATGAAAAAGATTCAGCATTCTTGAGTTGGTTTATGCATGAGATGATGATGATGAGGACATGTCTGATCAGCTCTTTGAAATATCAGATTAAAGCAAAGGGACAGCTAAAGGGTCGTCCTAGATACATAAAAAAAAGAACTTGGAGTGCATGAGAGGTTTCAGTATCATGTGTGGGGCCAGCTCTCTGTGACGCAGACTGTGTCCTGACTGATGAAGACATGTTACGGTGACGGAGCAAGTTCCTCTGTGCCAAGGCAGCCCTCAGGTGATGCATCCTCTCGAAGCAAACCCTGTGACTTAATTTTGAAGAGAGAGAAAATTATGAGCAACATCTGGTGACAGGCTGCAAGTCAAACTCAGAGGCAGAGCATGTTCAAACTTCATGATTCAAAATGACAGCAACAACAAATTTTATGGAAGTTGACATTTTGGGCAAATATTTATGACAGAAACTTGGAGGAGAAGCATCAGTGGGAATGGAGTATTAGTAGGCTACCCACTGCATTCAATATGAATGAGATGATGGAGACCTTTTACCTCTGGGAACTACATGCTTAACATTCATACATTTTCATTTAGTTGTGACTGTTTTGCACATTATGTTCTTCTAAATCCAATTCTAATAATCTGAATTATGACTAAAATTAAAACTAAAATTGGATTAGACTGTGTTGGGCCTAGCAGTAAATGAAATCAATATAATAAACAGGAATTCAGTTTAATCTTGCAGCTAACATTTGCAACATCTCCAAAGGAGACGTATTCTTGTGACGCTATTGGTCCCCTGAGAAAACCCTTCCTCACCACCCAGACTTTATCTTTGCAGCCATAGTTACCCAGCTGGAAGCTGTTGGCCATATGTGATGGTTGGACACTTGCTGGACAGCTAGACCTTACTACTGCACATTTGGATCCAAGATGAAGGATGGCTTGTTGTTACCAATCACAGACAAATCTTAAAATTGTGATCAGCAGATTAGTGCATCTAGCATTCATAATGGGGGAAGTTGAGACATAAAGTTATAGTAGTTATATAGTTTTAGTTACTGTCTTAGTCTTGGTTCTCTTATGTTTTCTTTTGAGTGTTTTTCTTTGCTCCATGTTTTTATAGTCTTGGGGGTTTAATTCCTATTTCGTTGTGTTTTTCAGTCTTCCAGGTTTTTATTTGCTGCCCTCTTGTGTTCTCCTTTTTCCCTGGCTCCCTTTCTGTTCTGCTCTCTCCTCACCTGTTCCCAATCTGCTCATTAGCCCTCTCTTTGTTTCTGTCTTCTATAAATGCTCTCTCTCTTCTTGGCTGGGTCCTCGTCTAACTTCCTCCAACTCGTCTCTCTGAGCCTTCCTCCTTGTTACAGTGATGTCTGTTCCCTGATGTCTCCATGGTTTTTGGTATGGTTTGACTTTGTTTTCATTTTGGATTTTTGGATTCCCGGTTTTGCCATTTATTTGGACTTTGTTTTCATATTTTGGATTACCTGCCTCTGTTTTCTGTTCACTTTCATTAAATCACCAAGAAATCTCACCTCTGCCTTCCTGCCTCTGCTTTCCGGTCAACAAACCTTAACCAAACCCTGACAGATTATTCTTATTGATGATGTGTACAGTAAGTTTGCTAAACTCTAACGATACCTGCCTGTTAGGTGTCAGAACTAATGTTTTCCCAAGCAGTTTATATAATTAGGGCAGTTCTTCTGTGTTATCATGTTTATTATGTACATAACAAAGATATGGGAAAGAAATGAGGACACAGACAGAGTGGATTATTCTTAACAGCGAGTTCTTTGTGTTTTTATCTAACTCACTGTAATAGTTTGATAAGGCTGGAGCCATAGATGTCTCCTCATAAGAACGTATATGAAGTAATGAAGTAATGATGTGGCATACTGGAGCTGTATAAAATGCTTCTTTAACTGTAATAAGAGGCCACTTCAATGAGATGTGAGCCTGGTTGGTAAGCCCTGCCTTCTGTAACTCAAAGCAACTTTTCTGGTCTGAGTAAGATTACAATTTCTGTCATAATCTGCTGTCATGTTTCATGGTTATTTAATACATATATATTATGAAGTATTATTTAAAAAATTTCTCCCGAGTGATTTCCTCTCAGGAAAAGAACCGGAGAGGGAAGCTTCAGTGTGTAAACTCAGAGTTTTACTGTAACCCAGTTAAATCTATCTTTTTCAGCTTTTATAGAACTCTTTTAGAGAACCACCACAAAACGCTGGTCCATCTGCTGCCCTGAGAGAGGCCTGCGTGTCTCCATCCTGTGCAGAAGTTTTTCTAAACATCTGCACTGGGGTTGCCCACAACCAAGTGACTCAACCAGAGCAGCCTTCTTCCTACTGCGAGGCTGGAGAAACTATTCTCTAGGAAATCTCATGCCAGAAGCACGAGGAAAGTTAAATAAATTAAATTTGAGCATTTTTTATTTAGGTTATTTAATTTGACTTAAATTTAAAGAATATAAATGCATTTAATCTCTAAAAAACTGCATCAATCTGGATTTGAATGTGACCTTTTAGGGTTAAATTGGTTATGATCATTGTGTGACATATCATACTATCATCGGTTAAAGGCAGTATAAGAAATAAATATTCCCAAAGAGCTAGACCTGGGGAGACTTTGAGGGATTTCCTCCCCATATATCAAACTCAAAGTGAGCAGCAGAGAGCACAGAGTGTTGCTGGCAGTGATAACATCAACATCTTGCCTGCTAAAGCCCACAGGCTCCTTACCCAAGAGGAATTATTTGCAATAAATCTAATACTGCCTCTTATCCAGCTAGAGGAAGTGAAAAGGGAACAGACTAATACTGAGATGGCTGTCAGACTCAGACAATTTGTACAACAGACTTTTATGTAATATTTTAGGGGCTGCATTTGGTTTGTGTTGATTTGCATCCAGAAAAATTATGTCAGTTGTTTTATCCAGTCTCAGATGAATTAAATATTCTAGATATCTAAAAAACATTATTTCTAAATTATATGAGAATGTAACAATGTGTCTGTTTATACCTGTCTGAATTTGTATGAAACATCTGCTCACTAAGAGCTAATGAAGAAGTAATTCTTCTCAAATTAAGAAATGTTTGATAGATTGGATCTAAAAAAGCTCTTTTATGGTGTGTTTTATTTCTTGGTGTTTTTTCTTTGTACAGCTGATTAATGCTTTTTCAGCTTTTCTGTAATCTTTTCAGAGCTAGTTTAGTTCTCACTCCAGTTAGTTTAACTCTTTCTCACAAAATTGTCCTTTATCCAACGCTCACTTTGTCTCTGCAACTTCTCATGTCTTGCTTCAATTTAGTTTTTCATGCCATTATTAAAATTTTCTAGAACACTCTTTGAGTGCATTTATGTGCAGTATGCTTGTTTTATATTCAACTACCAGTCTACTCTTATTCCTGAATTAACAGAGCTTTCTGTTTTATTCTTAGTTTTACAAACTTAGCTGTTGTCTATGACGGAGTATTAGTGCCAGACTAGAGTTGTTTTTTTCTTGTATTTCGAGAAAAAAGTTGTAATATTACGAGAAAAAAAGTCACAATGAGAATAGCCATAAAATTACGAGAATAAAGTTGTTATATTAAGACACAGAGAGATACAAGTAGTATATTATCACAACTCAAGAAGCAAGCTTCTTACAAGAAGCACTTTCTTCCCTAAAATGACGAATGTCGAGCATTATATGAAGTTATACTTTGGCTCTGGTTTGACAAATAAAATCTGTCGGCACACCAGCATCAAATTGGGCAGTATGTCAAAGTGGACTCAGGTTGCTGTTTGGTGGAGCTGGTTGGCCGTCATATGCTGGTCGGCGCTCGAAGCTTTCTCTCTGAAACAAATTGTTATTTGATAACTTCCTTCTCGTAATATTGCAACTTTATTCTTGTAATGTTACGACTTTAATCTCAGAATATTACAACTTTATTCTCATAATGTTACGACTTTATTGTCGTAATATTGCAACTTTATTCTCCTAATGTTATGACTTAATTCTCAAAATAAAATAAAAAAAATCTCTTGCCTGACCCTAATACTCTGTCATAGTTGTCCACTTGTTCCCAATAAGCTAACTATTTCTTACCCCTATTTTGCTAGACTCTTCAAATTCAATGAAACAAAACATGCAGGCTGATAAGAGATGATGTCCTAACAGGGACCATGACTTTTTTTTCTAGCAAACTAGCGTGTAAAGCTCTTTCACATCAGTTTTACTCTCAGAGAGGAGATGAAGTATCTCTTTGCAACCGAACATCACGTCCCTGAAGAGAACTTGTGTAGCAACTAGAACAAATTGGTGAACCAAGAAATCTGCTTCTATTCATGTCTAAGGTTTAGCACTGTGTGGAGATTATACTATTTTAGAAGCATTATGTTGTAAAAAAAAAAACAAAACGATTATTTAAAAGTACAATAAAAGAAATGTCAACCAGAATTCAGCTAATTTAATTTATCAAATTACACTTTTATAGCCGGGAGGAAAAAAGCATATCCCTCTGATGCATATGAGATGTGATGGCAGTGAGACATTTACCTGCAGTGTCTTTGGGAAACTTGCAGGGGACATGAGATGCAACAACTTGTGTTGATCTGCTCACAGCACACTAAGGCTTATGGATGACAAAGCATTACAGGTGGGCTTCAGGGAGAAGCTTTAAGGCTGAGGGTCCTTTTAAGTGAGACATATGTGTGCAAGAGGGGTGGGCGTGAGTGTGCATACGAAGTGCTCTTATTCCCTCGATCACAGTTAAAAAAAGAGAAAAAAGTTATTAAACTGTATTACTTTTTTTTACGTAAAGGCAAAATAACAAGCTTCCTGCTGCATAACAGCATGTGCTTATGTGCAGAGTGTGTTTAGTACCCAAAAATGTTACAGTACTCTATAAGGAGTAGTATAGAAAACATTTTTACTAAAGCATGAGAAGAAAGTTGTCATTCAGTATATTACACATTAAAATTACATAATCAGACAGTTATGAGCTATTTCTGGTAATTCATAGTTTAAAATGAAACAGACCACACTGCCATAGTCAGTCTCAATGTAGATGGATTTTTGATGTTGCACAAAAAGAAGTGTGTTTGAGGCATTACCTTAAAACAGATATGCATCTATTTTGGATTCTGTAACTGATGTGAATTAAGCTTCATAAGACCCAACTTCATCATCTGTGAAGTCAATCGACAGTGCTCAGAAATCAACCGATTTTCATGTGATTGGCTCCCACCGACAACCAGCAGGTTATTATGAAGACAACTGATTTCAAGCATTGGTTATTGTGTTGTGTATAAGTTTCTTTCTCTGA